TTCATAGAACATAGAAACATTCTCTGGACATCCGTAGGACATCCCTTGGAGATCTGTGCTGTTGCTTATAGATATTTTCTATATGTGATATACGAAGTATGCTATAGTTTATATAATAATAATAATACTAAATATAATACAGCAACATTGTTGCAACGCTTGCATGTTGCTGGAATGATTTGTACTGTATGAAGCTGCGATCTGATTCACGCTTACAATTCTTGTATTATTTGTTTTTGTTTACCACTAATAAACAAAAAAGGTAAATGATTTCAAGAGCATTGGGCGTGAATCGAATCGCAGCTCCATATATGGTAAAACCCAGTAAACGAGAATGGATTAAAATGAATTGAAATTTTTTTTTCTGAATGCATATTTTAAATAGTGAATACTTTTTTTTTTATTTTGGATTTAATTGGATTCAATTAGATTCAGTTGGATTGGATGCAATTGGATTGGAAAAACTGCATTTTCTATTCAAAATTTTGAGTTAAACAATATTCACAATGCACAGAAAAAGCTAATATTATTTTTAGATTGAAAGGCATAGAGATATGCTCCATGCAATTCCTATAAATGAATAAAAATTCAGGATTGAAAAGCATTCATTTTAACATTCGTCAATATTTCTGAAAATCTGAATTTATTTCAATCCATTCTCGTTTGCTGGGAACTCTATATACGGTTGATTGATATTGCTATAAATAAAAATTATGCGTAAACGCGTAAAATTCCTTTCTAGTAAGAAGCGCAAATTGTATATTATGTCCAATCTTAATATGTGACCTGATCACAATGAAGCATGCTAATTAAATTGCATGCGTTCCCACACATAATAAAGAAGAATTATATGGGAAAAAATACACAAAGACCGCAGCAATTTGCTTGTGCGAAGTGAGTTCCTAAAATTAGACTCCAAGGCGAAAGTAAATGAAATGTATTTTTGATAGTACAATTGTATTTAAAAATTAATTCAGGAACCGCAAGATTTGGAATTTCTTGGAAAATTATAATTTTGT